GGAATTACCGCATATTGTTTCACTGACGGTTGTCATATTTTGGCTGGTTGATCAAATCAGCTGAAACGGGGTGCAGCTGTTGCCTGTAGCGAAAGTCTTCTCCATCTCCTGGGCGTTCCCATTCTACTAGCGTTCTCCGTCATTCCTCAAGATCTTGAGTATCCAATGTTTGATGGATCTTCGTGCGCCGTCGTAGTCGCTAGTTGCTGGTAGCAACAAGATATGCTGATCTCGACGATATCCAGTGTCCATTTATTGAGTTCGGACGGCTTGGACTGGCATTCTGAAGGCTGACAGCATAGCTTCTTTAGCTCACGTCCATTCAACCTCCAAGCAATCTTCGCCATCCCCATAACTTCGCTTCCGGTAGCTTTCTGGCCTGATCATCTTGGTACCTTTGAGCTACTGGGACTTGCCACAGTTGATGAACAGACTTGCTCTGCTTCGGCGCGCGTACTGCTGACGGAAAGCGATAACTGGAAAGTGATAACTGGACCCGGACGATCGCATGATCGAAGTCAATATTCAAACCCCAGAAGTAATGATGATTCTTAATTGAGGTTCGCCATCGGTAACTGATAGCCACATGGATCATCTGAGTCCGTAACTCTCCTGTGATTGGTGGCCTCCAAATAACTCGATGTGAATGTTCAGGCCGGAAGTTCTTACTGGCCAGGAACAGACGGTGATCAGCACACAACTGAAGCAGTTGCTCCCTCTCATCCATGCGCTCAGTATCGGCTCCAAATCTACCACCTAATTGTCCTTCTTCCGGAATTAGTCTTCTGACTTGGGCATTCATATCACTCGACAGGATAACTATATCCGCTCTTCTTACCAACCGAAGAATTCGTGACAGATTTGATGAAACATGTCCTTCTCGATCTCATAACTGCAGTCTGTCAAGGCGTGTGCTGATACCACAAATAGACGCAGTTTGTCGCATCGACCTGAATTGATCTTAATTGAGACAGACAACCGCACGGCGCCAAAATGACCGTTTAATGGGATCTAATCTAGTAGAGAACCTTCAGCCTCGACGCTGAGTGCAATTCCCACACCGTAGATACCACCAGACATCCACTAGGTTCATGTTGATGCACAGCTACTTTCCGGCGGTAGCTCTAATTGTCGAGCCAGTTCATCCGTTCACAATCTCTAGGTCTATATATCGTTCCACCTAGCTGTCCCACCGCTGAACTACTTGCTGTATTCTCTCGACAATCACATCTGGGTACTTTTCCAAGCAACTCAATATTGTTACAGTCCGGGTGTTTGGGAAGGTATCGGTCTGGGCTTGCTGTGCGCGTTGTTGGTAGGTTTTTCTCAAACGAACTGTTCCCGCTATTCCGTACCTTCTTTAACTTCATTTTCACAAATTCTGCTGTTTCAGGTAAAAATCACGGAAACTAGCCAAGTTGTTAGAGCCAGTGTCCAGCGTTTTCGACCGGGTTCCATTGGAAACGGTGACGTCTCGGGCCCCACGACCTTCCTGGCCTGCTACCTGGCCAACGGTCATTTCCTCGCATTCTCCCTTCCCAGTCTACGAATGTTGATGGACGTTGATTATCTACCCTGTACTGAATGTGTATCCCACTCATTTGCGTTTGGACAACATGGACAGGCAGTTTATATGAGCTCGCCTTCGGAGTTGGTCAAAATAACATGGGCTGCTGACGTATGGTGAGTGTATTAGACAACATTCTTGACGAACTTTTATCATCCGTTTTAGCACGAGTCCGTTGTGTTTCTCGTGGACAGATTTGACTCAGGATCCGTGTATGGTATCTACATATAGGGGAAGTACAATTTTAACTGATCAGATTTTTTCAAGGGTAAATTAACCAATGTACCCTGAATGTATTTTTCCGAACGTTCGTCATCGACTGCGGGAAAGGTCGGGCAGTGCATTTGTTTTCCTGTGATCCAATAATTTAGACGCCATTCTGCAGCGACTTTGTATAAGTGAATTTTTGGGATATATTTGCAGTGACTTTGTAGTGACTTTGCAGTGACCTTGTGGTTGATTCGAATCTGTTGTCCACTATGTGGATTTGGGACCAAAAGCCACAGTTGTGTCGGCTAGACTTATTGATTCCTGTATCTCCCTCTATTATCTGGGATTTTTCGTCTATTCTACCGTTTAATGTAACTGAATCGTTGAGTTTTTTCATTACGTCCGGAACAGATACTCTTCGGAGCGAAATTCCGCTGGATTTGTCATATTTTTTTCAAACAGCCGACTTAGAGCCACCAACTTTGGACAGAATCCAACAGAGTTCCCTACAATAATCAGTGCAAAACGTGCTCTGAAGTGCAAAATCCCCGAACCGTTTCCCTGCATCGAAGGCTGCGTAGTTCGGACGCTGAGCTCCCTACTTAATCCGCCACCCCAAAATGTATGACACCTCATGGAAGAGTATTCACCTATTCACTGGGTTTATACTGACCGAATCAAGATTAGCGAATGACATAATCCTGTTATATAGATAAGTCACGGTGAAAGCGTAGCTTTTTTTACTAGTCCGCACTCACACATCAGAGTACTGCTGCTGGTGCATGCTGTGGGTACATGATCATGAAGGGGAAGCTGACTAAAACACCACATAACTTTCACTCCATAAGGTGTGCAGCTATAGTCATTGGTAGGTGCGAAGAAGGTATATCAGCAACGCGTAACACCCCAAACAGCTTATTCATTGAGCTCGCTGAAAACAGGGAAACCATAGCTGTATGTTGTCCCTCGTCCCATTCTAATGAACTTTTCCGCTGAGTTGGTGGATGAGACGCCGAACTCACGAAAAAGAACCGAACGATTTTAGCCACTTCGACTCCAATGCTCCCCAACATGGGCCAGATTCTCTTAAGTAACGGGGAAATGCAAGCACCCCTTTGCATAGCAATTGGTCTCTGAATATGGAGAGACAGAATGTCAAAAAGTTCTGGCCACCTTCGGTGGGCATTCTTAACGCCACCTGGTGAGCTTGGCAACCGAAGCATCCATGCGAAGGGATGATCCCAATGCTTGCCCATAATACGGCAAACCGTGAGAGTTAACGTTTGAGTATAGTTTTTCTGATCAACCGTACGAACACTCTCGAGCACTGTCAGTTTGGTCACTCGGTGGAAGCTCAGTTATTTGGCCGGTAATCCAAGTAAACAGTCCGTAATTCTTGGATGACGTGAGAAATAAACTATTTCGTCCCTCAGATGGAAATGATGGTCACTCAGTCAAAAAACATCATGGGACACTGCTTAACTGAGGTATCGTCGAAATTCAATGAAGTCACGTGACTTTTCACATGCTGTTTCCTTTGTAAGTCATGTGAATCTCAGGTTGCTTGCCTATAAGCGCATTGGCGTGCGCAAATTGGATTGTATCGTCGCAGCATGTTCCTCGAAGGTCGTGGTATGATGTAGTTTTATCTTTTCTATAAAAGTTCATTGCAGGCGACGCTCCGGCAGTAAACCATAACCCCGCTTTCATGCCAGTTATTAGGAGATCTGTCTTCAAGGTAAACATCAACCGATTATTCAGGAGATCCAGGCTTGGAAAGGCATCCGGAAGTTGACACTCTACTTCCGAACAACGAACACGCTTCTCATTGGTGTCAAGATGATTTACAGTCCTACTATTGTTGGAGTGCGCTCTCCAGGGCTGTGAAAGATTATCAATGTTTCCTACTTTACCGTATATACCGTCACCTCTTTGAACAAATTGTTCACTCAGATCCCTGGCGGAACTCCGCGTTTATACTTGCTGCTCTTCCTCAAATTAGACCGATTTGAAATGGATAGTTTGAATTACAGATGAGTATAACAGACTTCTTTATGAAAATCGAATGTGATCTAAGATTAATTCGGTTGTCGCACGAACCGATTTTCTTACCCCTCCTGTACCTCCATTTGGGGTAAATTCTCCCTAGAAGGAACCGTTTTCATCCCTCATGCGATATGTGTAACCAAATACATAGACCCCATCCTGGAAGGTATCTCACACCGACGACAACCGATATCATACCCTTTCTGCTTAACTTGGTTATTTACCTCAGAGTGACCCATTGCTTCACTCATTTCCAGCGCGTGTTTTACAAGCTTGTTCATCAGACAAGTTCAGTGCCTGTTGTTCAACCTGCCCTTGTTATTTATCACATTCTTGACCCAGTCATCGACTTTTTTTCATATCTAGCGCTAATTTAAAGGACATGCAGGGCGAATTGTTTCTGCCGTGCAATATGCCTGAACCACCAAAACGGAACTTCATCATGAATCTGCTCTCCGGCACCACGAATACTTCACTGGACCGAGATGAGTTATGTACGTATCAGTCTGTGACTGTTTCATGGTTTTCCTCATACCATATTCTCTGTTGAAGCCCTGTTGTCACCTTGTGTCTTTTTAATGCACACATTCCAATTGGACTATTTTCCCAACTTAGGATAGAAGCTGTCGGCTGAAAACGGTTCCGTCTCAGACAGTAGTGTTCATTGCATGGTTGAATTTCTGAGTATGCTTGGTTTTATTGACTAGGTACAGAATTCCACTACCATTTGTTGCCTAAACAGTTTGCTGATACAATTTTAGCATATAATACTGGCAGATTAATTTATCCAAACTCGACTTCCTAATTCAGATCTCTTACACAATACACTTACTACTGGCAGACTTAATCAAACTCATGACCGGTTTCTCGCCGCCTTGCTTCAGTTCTGGAACTACCATGCTTTGCGGAGTTTCTGTAAACCATGGGTTACATAGTTGGCGCTGTGTTCGTGAGCTCAGTCAGGTTCAACTCAGTCGCCGTGACTTGTGTTCCGTACTCACCAGTCCGTAGCCTCAGCCATATGAAGTGTGTATTTCTATGGGATATACAATCTATTTGGGAATGCTACCAGGGGCTGGTTACGGACGATGCAGATGCGAGTCAATAGCTCATAAAACATTCAAACGTTAGCATGCTGCATGAAGATGGGATCTGGGTTAAGTATTTGTATCTAAAAAGGTCACCTGCCCATTGTTCAAAAAGCCCAATTGCTGCCTCTAGTAAAAAGCACGAAAGATCTGGTAGAAGATTGAGATACTCTACAGACTTTACGCTGGAATAAGAGGCCTTCGTAGGCACTTTCGTCTTCCAGCTTTTGGCGGCAGTGCACGAGGTTGCAGGTCACCTATCAGACGGATAGGGGGAATACAATCCTCACCCCACCATTCAAATTTCATGCCAACTATCGCACTTTCGCCCTCCTGAGAGCGTTTTTGTCACTAAACCTCTTGTACTAGTGACACTTGAATGGACTCTCCGTCAGTTCATTTTCACTCATCAGCTCGCATCTCTGTCCTCCCCTCTCTTCAGTAGCTGGTGACGTGCGAGGATTATCTTTCTCTTGCATTAGCACTTGACTCAAAAATTAAACACTTCTCTTAAAGGAAACTACTCACAAGGTTGCTCAAAACTCCTCGACAGCCCACGACCGGTTTCACTCTTCTTGGGGCTCATCAGGTAGGCGCAGTCCCCCAGTTTCCGTCAACCTTATGTTCTCTACTTTTTAAGGAGTGTCACAGTATTTCCAATTTATGAGCATTCAGAATAGCTGTTCCAGTCAACCAACAGAAAAGAGTAGGCCATCTGTTAGCCATTGTATTATAGTCAATTTATCAGATAGGCCCCATAATTAACGAAGAATTTTGTCTGTTAGAGAAGGGATTGAATTTTGCAGTAACTGAGTCATAAGGGCAAGAGAGTTCGTTCTTAGATTAGCACACTAGGTCAGTGTTAAGGGTCAATTAACGGCTGTTGTCGGTTAGTGTGTTTGTCAAAATCTTGCTTTGGTGGGTTGGGGGAGTTTCAACTTAGTTCTGATCGGTTTTGGTTGCTTACCCTCCCACTTCAGTGTGCTTTGATTGATGATTCACTCCCCGCGAGTGCCACTAGTAGATTTCGTTTGTCTTCGTGGGTTTGTGAGTGTTGCGGCAATCTAGTTAAGGGGATGGAAAGTGGGAATTCAGATGATGATAATCGCACGCACACATGTGTCGGCTCGACTGATCCGAGACCGTCCTTCACACGCCTGCCAGTTCCACGTCTTCTGTTGACACTGGGATGCTTGGCGATTTCTATCGCTTCGGCTATCAGTTTATGTGACGTGGACTGTAATTCTCGCCTCAAAACTTCAACATTCTCTAAATCTATTTTGTGTCTAGTGCGTGTTCCGCGATTGCCGAGTCTTTCGGTAACGCTTGATATTCGTCCGCGTTTCTCGGCGGCCTGGTTTATTTTTCCACATGTTCTCCGATTCTGATTTGAAGTTCCATGGTCGTCTGTCCTATATAGACCTTAGTACAGTAGTCACACTTAATTTTGCAGACACAATCCCTGGTTCTTTTTGCCGGGAGGCGATCCTCCAAGTGCACAGCGCAGGGTGTTTCCCTTCTGGAAAGCTACTCTTATGTTAACCGTGTTTAGAATCCTTCGAACGAATTCCGATGTTTTTGCTTTCTGTGGAATAACAGCAGTCCCGATCCATTCCCTGTTGGGCTTCGTTACCGGTACCAAAACCCTTCGAAATTGACGCCTAGTCAAGCTGGCCGTATATCCATTACCTCGAAGTTTTTTCCTCATTTCATTTTGGGTCGCTATCCCATCGACTTCTTCTGTGCAAGTACTCTTACATGCCTAAACACTGACGAGGCTATACTGACGGATACCGACTTCGGATGGCCAGACGAGTAGTTCAAAACTGCCCTAGTGTCGGTTGGCTTCTCGTGCACTGTGGTCTTTAATTTCCCCCGACCTTATGTATCATGCAGTCTAAAAAGGCCGATGTATCCGAGGTTGACTCTATCTCCATACTAAATTTTATGTGTGGACTCAGTCCATGCAGATAGTTGTAAAACCCACTGGCCTTTTCTCGTTTCATCACGACGAAAGCGCCATCTACATAACGCCAGAATATCTTAGGTGGGTATGGGAATCTGGCTGAAGCTTTCTGTTCAAATTCTTCCATGATTATATTCGCCAAAACCAGGGATATTGGAGATCCCGTTGATAGACCTTGTTCTTAAGTGTACACCACTGAATCAAAAAAATGAATTCAATGAGGTCTAGACATGCTTTTATACCTTCTATTTCATTTTTCCTAAGCTGTGTCCGTTCTGAAAGGGTATAGTCCGCTAGTAGCTTGGCTATTTCTAACTAGTCTCCTTTTGTCACATTGGTACGTAACGAACTGATATCGAAAATTACAGGGATGTCATCTGGTTCAAAGGTGACACCCGTTATTTTGTTGGCAAAGTCACAAATTCTTAGTGTAAGTACTAGATTTCCAGGTGAGAGGTTTTAGAATACTCCCCAAGAATCTGGCTAGCTCATGCGGTGAGAAACCTACTCCGGAACATCGGGTTGATGGATTTTTGGTAGGCTATAAAGCCTTGGTTGGGTTGTACTTTTGAGGTGTAGTCGATATCAATTACATTGCCCTAAGTGGTTTATTGCGCAAATATCTGCCAACTTCAGCTTTACTCATGTTCATAATATATGTAACATTTGCATATTTGCGTTAAAGACTCCCAGCTAAGCTAGGTTTGAACTTCTGTAGATAATCACTTATGTTCATGACTAATATATATATATATATATATATATATATGTATAGTCTTAGATAGCAAGCAGAAGTAAAGGTCGCGAATGTACTTTTCACCCACTGGCACAGTGATAGTTGGGTTTATGCCCGATTGTTATTCCTTGAATGTACACTGTTTACTGTTCTCTTGTGAAGAAATGTCGTCGGCACAGGAGGTCCATGCTGTGAAAAAAACAAAGATTGTTGTCTGGTTGCTTCTGAGGTGAGGCTTTCTTATAATGCAAGACAGTCGCGGAGCACTGAACCTGTTCCCTTCTTCGATGCGTCCTTCAGGGGAGGGTTTCTGTAAAGACCGCATTGGTAGAGCGATGGTAACACGTTTGCCTCG